GCCGTCGTCGTCGTCGTGGTCGTCGTCGCCGTCGCCGTGGTCGCCGTCGTCGTTGTCGTCGTCGTCGTCGTCGTCGTCGTCGTCGTCGTCGTCGCCGCGGCCGTCGTCGTCGTCGTCGTCTTCGTCGTCGTCGCCGCTGTCGCCGTCGTCGTCGTCGTCGTCGTCGTTGCCTTCGCTGTCGTCGTCGTCGTCGTCGTCACCGTCGTCGTTGTCGTCGTCGTCGTGACCGTCGTCACCGTCGTCGCCGTCGTCATCGTCGCCGTCGTCGTCGTCGTCGCCGCAATCGTCGTCGTCGTCGACGTCGCCTTCGTCGTCGTCGCCTTACTCGTCGCTGTCGTCGTCGTCGTCGTCGTTGTCGTTGTCGTCGCGTCGTCATCGTCATCGTCGTCGTCGTCCTCGCCGCCGTCGTCGTCGACGACGTCCTCTGCGTCGCCGCCGTCGTCGTCGTCGTCGTCGTCGTCGTCGTCGTCGTCGTCGTCATTGTCGTCGCCGTGCTTGTCATCGCCGTCGTCGTCGTCGCCGTCGTCGCCGTCGGCGCCGTCGTCGTCGTCGTCGCCGTCGTCGTTGTCGTCGTCGCCGCCGTCGTCATCGTCGTCGCCGCCGCCGCCGTCGTCGTCGTCATCGTCGCCGTCGTCGCCAGCGTCGTCGTGTGCCGTCGCCGTCGTCGTCGTCGTCGTCATCATCATCGTTGTCTTCGTTGCCGCCGTCGTCGCCGTTGTCGTCGTCGTCGCTGTCGTCTTTGTCATGCTCGTCGTCGTCGTTGCCGTCGCCGTCGCCGTCGTCGTCGTCTCCGCTGTCGTCGTCGTCGTGGCCGTCGTCGCCTCCGTTGCCATCGTCATCGTCGCCGTCGTCGTTGTCGTCGTCGTCGTCGCCGCCGTCGTCGTCGTCGTCGCCGTCGTCGTCGTCATCGCCGTCCTGCTCGTCGCCGTCGTCTTCGTCGTCGTCGTCGTCGCCGCCGTCGTCGTCGTCATAGTCGTCGTCGCCGCCGTCGTCGTCATTATCGTCGTCTTCACCGTCGTCGTCGTCCTCGCAGTAGGCGTCGTCGTCGTCGATGTCGTCGTCGCCTTCGTCGTCGTCGACGTTGCCTTTGTCGTCGTTGTCGTCGCCGTCGTCGTCGCCGTCGTCGTCGTCGTCGCCGTCGTCGCCGACGTTGTCGTCGTCGCCGTCGTCGCCGTCGTCGCAATCGTCGTCGTCGCCGCCGTCGACGTCATCGTCGTCGTCGTCGTCATTGTCGTTGTCTTCGTCTTCGTCGTCGCCGTCGTGGTGGTCGTGGCTGTCGTCGTCGCCGTCGCCGCCGTCGCCGTCGCCGTTGTCGTCGTCATTGTCGCCATCGTCGCCGTCGTTGTCGTCGTCGTCGTCGTTGTGCTCGTCGTCGTCGTCGCCGTCGTCGTCGTCCTCGTCGTCGCCGTCGTCGTCGTCGTCGTTATCGTCATCGCCGGCGCCGGCCTGGAGGAAGGGGGGTATTCGAATCCCCCTCGTCGACGTTCCTCGCCGCCGCCGACAGCCGCCGCCAGCGCCGGCGCTGGCCCTGGAGGGGGGGGGGTTCGAGCCCCATGTCGGACTAATCCCAACCGACCTGTGCTAATTTCAACCGACCTGGCCACTTCACAACCGGCCAAAAAACAAACTGGTACCAGCCACAGCCGACCATCTTGGGCCAGGATTCCGTTTGTACAGCATTTTAAGACGAGCCAGACATCAGACGAACGTCTTTAGCGTACACATTCACTCCCGGAGTCAACATGAGCGCCCCAGTTGGAATTCGTACCAGTTTATGTTCTGGGATTTGAGAGCTGCGTTGCTGTGCAACAGCAATCCGAAACAATACAGATCACCTCAAAGCAGCAACATATATCCAAAACAACGTACAGTCACAACACATACCCACATACTTTTCACAACAACACATGATTATCGAAAGCACGCTGTATCATCCTCGTTGTCCTCGGCCGTTCCTTCCTTCCTCCTTTCCTGCCTTTTCCTTCCTCCTCCTCCTCCTCCTCCTCCTCCTCCAGGAGTCCCCAGGTTTTTTCATCAATTCTTCAGGAATCCTTCAGAGATCCACCAGCTAACCTCTAGAAGTCTTTCGGAAATCCTCCAGCAATCCTCCAGACATCGGAACCGCTGAGGAGCCTCTGAGAAGCTTCTGAGGAGCTTCTAAAGAGCCTCTATGGATCCTCCAAGGAGCTTCTAAGGAGCTGCTAAAGAGCGTATAAGGAACCTCTAGGGAAGTTCTCAGGAGACTGGCAGGAGCTTCTGTTGAGACTCTGAGGAGCTTCTTCTAAGAAGCCTCTAAGGAGCTTCTAAGGAGCCTCTCAGGAGCCTCCAAGGAGCTTCTCGAGGAACTTCTAAGGAATCTCTCAGGAGCCCCTAAGTAGCCTCTGTGGAGCTTCTAGGGAGCTTCTAAGGAGCTACAAAAACTGTAAGGAGCTTTTAAGGAGCTTCTCAGGAGCCTCTAAGGAGCTTATAAGGAGCCTGACTGGAGCGTCTAGGGAGGAGCTTCCCAAGGAGCTTCTAAGGAGCCTCTCCAAAACCTTTTAAACAACCTTGAACAGCTGTTTTAAAAGTTGCCAGTTGGTAGGGATTGGGACCGAAATGGTTGGAATCCGTCCTAGTTGGTTGTAGTGTTTTCATTTTCGGTTCGACCCCCCCCCCCTGTTTAACTGGGGGTCGCGGTTCTGGACCCCCCTCCAAGCGCCCACAGAACGCGCTCTTTCTTTCGCTTGCGCGTGCATGTTGGCAAGACTCGTGGTGCACAGCGGTCAAGTGGCATGTGTTCTTGGAGCGGGAGTAGGTAGTCGCTGACAAGATATGATATGACAAGTGTCCTGATCCGGATTACAGGGGCAGCACAATCTTCCAACGTTCTCACCTCCCCCCCCCCGAGTTCCCGATTCGAGTTGGCTTCGGGGGTCCTGGAGCACTATTGGGGCCTTTGGGGGTTGTACGGCCTCAAGCAGGTTCCGAGGGTCAATGAGGATTCCAGCAAAACCTCACGAGGCCACATTGTGCAGGGCTTCAATAGATTCACCCCGCAGCCAAGAGTTGTCGAACACCTGATGTTTTTTCAATGCCTGTTGCTACCAGGCTTTCTCCTACAGTTAGCTTTGGGACCAGGCCAGATGGCCGCAAGGCAGCCCCACAACGCCCGACGACGGCCCCAGAACGCCCCACTAGGGCCCCAAGGCAGCCCAACAGAGAGTCTCCAGAAGGTCCCAGGGAGCCCCAACACGGCCCAGGAGATCGCCGAGACGGCGCGAGAGGACCGCCCAAGGACGCGCCATGACGGCCCAATAGGTCTTGAGCAACCCCCCAAGCAGACATGCCCATTTGGAATGTTGAGTGCGCGGTGCTGTATTTCGATTGCGGGGGGTGCTCCGCACCAACGCTCCACGGTGTGTTTGTGTTGGTTAATTCGAGGGCGCGGTTATGTCTATGCCATATTCGCCAATATGGTTTTGTACGTATGCTTACTTGCTCCCCGCGTTTCCAAAAGCACGGGCTGTGGCTGGCGATGATTCGCCGTAGGCGTCTTCGATACTCAATAGTACCAGACCGCATTGTCATCCTCCTCTTCCTCGTGTTCCTCCTTATTGCTTCAGGCTCTGCCGCATGCCGTACGACTGCGGACGTTTGGACAAGACAGGCACGAGTCACGGCAAATTCGCTTTAGGGAGGTTGCATTCGGATTCCAAGATGTTCAGTCGGGACGACTCTGGGAGCATATTGTTTTGGTTCTTCTCCAGGGTCCCAATGGACTTTTTTGGTGACGTCCTGGGGCCTTCTCGGGCCGTCTTGGGGCCATTCGTGGGCCATATTTGAACTCGCTTTCGGGCGACAAGAGATCGCCAAAGGTCGTCGTGGGAGTTTTTCTAGGCCGTCTTACGGCGCGCTTTGGGTCCTCACGGCGTTTTCTGGAGAACATTTGTAACTTTCGGCGGCGCGCCTTGGGGGGAAGTGACAAGGGGCGGGGTCACAAGGCGGCTGAGGTTCTCAGAAGCCCTCGCACCCTCTGAGGAGCCGTCTCTTTCTTCGGAGAAGGCTAAGAACATGTTTCACAAGACCAGAGGCCTTCCGAGCCGTTTGAGAAGGCCCACCCCCTCTAACTTCCCCGTGGGATCGCCGACGAAACTTGCTCTCGGAGCGACTGTCCGCGACAGACAGGCTCCGTGGACGGAGGTGTCAGCGAGGCGATTGGGGCGGGGGGTTCCAGGACAAGTCTCGCGGGAGTGCGCGCCAGACAAGGAGCGGGGATCGCCGCCTGACAAAGCTTGCGGGCGGGAGTCGGCGGATTGTGGCGGGGCCAGAACACGGAGAAGGTGGGGTGTCCCCAGGATAAGCGGCGAGCTCAGGGGAAATGAGAGGGTGCGGGCTTTCGCATAAGGCTCGGAAGGCCACTGGTTTTCCGAGAAGTTTTCTCAGCCTTCTCTGAAGACGTGGACGGATTCTCAGAAGGCGCGAGGGCTTCTGAGAAACCCCGCCGCCTTCTGAGAAGGCCTGTCCCCTCTCACTTCCCCCCAGGGTCGCCGCCGACAAAAGGACACATCCTGCGTGATGGGTTGTCAGCGAGGTGGCTGGGGCGGACCCAAACAAAGGCAAGTCCCACGGGCCTGGGGTTTCAGAGAGGGGACGGGTGCTGGGCACGAAGCTTGAGGGGGCGAGGGAGCGCACGCCTGTGTCTGTCTGGAGCCTAAGCGCGAAGCGCGCGCATGGTTCTGGTGACGGACCGTGTCTGCCCTGGAGTCTCGCAGTTCTGTGCCATCTGTTGCGCAAGTTGAGCAAGCACGTGCTAGACTTACCCGTGTTGGCCCGCGGCCGACCGCTGGTGTGCGTCAGCGATGCGCGGCAGTTGTCATTTTCCGCCTCCTCCTCTCCTCCCTCCTCCACCTTTTCCGGCCCAGCCTCCTCCTCTTCCTCCTCCTCCTCCTTTTCTATCCTCCCTCCTCCCTCCTCCTCTATCCGCCCTCCTTCTCGTTCTCCTCCCCGCCGCCTCTCCCGAGGGCAACCCGGAAATGGCCAAGAGGCTGAGGGGCTTCTCGCAGAACCCAGACGCCCTGCGCGGCTGGTTGCAGACGCAGGCCATCCTCTTGCGGCCTCCAGAGCGGAAAGAGGAAGGCGGAGGAGGAGCCTGAAGTGATATGGCGTAGGGGCACCTTAGCCCCATTGGTGAGGCCAGAGGCTTGGTGCACCACCATGGTGTGCCACTCGAGGGCAGGGCAACCATGTAGAAAACGATGGAATTCCTAGACAGCTTCCCAGAAACCCGACTGGCCTTGTCGGAAGGCGGAGGAGGAGGAGGACGAGGAGGAGGAGGATGACGAGGAGGAGGAGGAGGAGGACGAGGAGGAGGAGGAGGAGGAGGAGGAGGAGCGAGGACAAGGAGGAGGCGCAGGCGCTCTCTGGCTATAGTCTGCGCCCCGAGCCACAGGATGCTCCCGCGATTCGGAACACATTTGCTAGCCTAGCTGCGGCGGTCGCCAACAGCCGCATGTTGCACTGGGAGGAGATGGGGCACCCGTGCAGGGTGTTTTGGAGCAGGGGCTCCGAGCTGTATAAGCGAGGAGTACACCCCCCCCGGGACACCTGTCATTTCATGCCGACATTTCGCGGTCGCAGTGGAGAAGCCTTCGTCGTTGACACGGCCAAGTATGTCCTGAAGGCGTGCCGCGCGTGCGTAGAACTCAACCAGGATCCCTCTGATCCGCTGCGCGGTGGCTGCGCCGCCGTCCGCGATCGTGAAAGGATGAACTGCCTGGTCAATCGAGTTTCCATTATTGGCTCCCTGGTCGCATGTTATACGGGCGTGCTCCTGCCATTCCTTGAGAGCGTCATGCCCGCCATCCCGGAGCTGCCATACGTGGATGTCGATTCGGCTAAGTTTTCGGACTGGGCGCGGAGTAAGTCGCTGGCGACGAAAACCTGCGGGTCGACGCGCCAGCCTACGCGCTCACCGTCGACGACATGGTTTCTCTGCCCGGGATGACCCCGACCCTCGCGCTTGCGCAAATGAAAATGGCCCCCGACGAACGCATGGCCAGATGCATGAGGCCCCGAAGGCGACGAAATGACCAGGGTGTCCGCCGACTGTCGGCGGCCCCCGCTGGAAGGAGGGTGATTTGTTTTACAACTGGCAGAAAATGCAGGACAGCATCCTTGAACACTCCACGAGCGAAAACAGGGGCACAAATGTGAGGTGTTGAGTCGACGGCCAGCCGATGGGATGTTCAGCAGCATTCTCCGCCCGCGAAGGCTTCCAGACAGTTATCATCTTTGGTCAGGGCAGAGCCAGGGCTGCGCTGGGGGACGCATTGAAAGGAAGAGTGGTTAGCCCTGAAAGTGAAGTAGATTTCGATCTCCTCTGGAGGAGGCTTCCTCTACAGAAGCTTGCTCCCGAGAAGCTTGAGCGGACCCTGATGCCAGACGATGACTGGTACAAACAGGGGAACGCACACGGGCTCAAAGGCGTGGTTCGTCGAACGGATGCGAACTGCCCACGCGCTGAAGCCGACGCTCAGCTATCTTGGTAATTGTGTTATCGAATGGCTGGCGTCCCGACGCTTGTATAGCGCCCGACGTTTGCATGCCGCCACGGTCCAGAACGCGACGCTGTGCGACCTGGTCGACCTGGGGATAATGAAAATTGAGGCACGCGAGTACGAGACCATCCTCACTCTCCCTTCCGACCTGCCAAACGGCTTCGTGAGGCCAAACAGCAAAGGGTTGGCGGTTGTTCTCGCGCGATGTCGCCACCAACTGGCTCAGCTCCACGCTCAACGCGGGCGTGTTCGTCATCTCGCGCTTGATGGCGGCAGAAGCAAGACCTCCCAAGGCTCGGGAAATGTGGCTAAGGGGGTGTATGCCTTTGAGGACACCGCAGCCGCTCCAGGGTGCCACACCACCAATTCGGCGGCGCGGGAAATGTTTTGGGAGGGCCTGGACGTCACTTGTGAGTTCTAGTTGAGAAGTATGATTGAGGAGAAAGCGGAGGAGGATATGGAAGTAGTATGAAGGAGTAGAGGAAACAGTGGGAGGCAGAAGCAAATGAGGAAAGGTCGGCACGAGATGTTTCTCCGCCCCCGTCTCCCTCCTCCCCCAATCATTCCATCCTCTTCCTCCTCGCCTGGTCCCACCCTCACCCTATTGCCCCTCCTCTTCCCATGCTCCGGAGGCGGGGGCGCAATCGAACATCCCTGCCACTCGTTCTCCCAAAGAAGAGTGGGGGAGGGGAAGGCACCGCCAGTGCAGTAACAAGTGGGCGTGTGGCGGTCGCTCGTCGCTCGTCCTACCTCTTCCGTACATCCTCCTCCTCCAGAGGCTCTCAGTTGCTCAAGAGTAGCCACCACGCCAGAACCCCCCCGTATTCGATCTTCCTCCTTCTCCTCTTCTTCCTCCTGCTTATCGCTCCTACTGGGGCCTGCGAGGCTGCTTAAGTGCATTGGGGGTGGACGGGGGCGCAGTCTGTTGTAAGGCCATCGCGGAACACTACCATGCCAAGCTGGAAGAGGCTGACGCAGCGGTGCAGGAGAAGATACGGTCTCTCGAGCAGGACCCTAACAGGGCGGCGGGGAAGTGGAGAAGGACAAGGATGACGATGTGGAGGGGGGAGACCACACGGGTCGGAGGTTCGAGGGATCGATGCGAAAAGAGGGGGAGGAGGAGGAGAAGGGGGAAGATGAGGCGGAAGATGAAGATGAGGAAGACCAGGGAATCTTCATTGAGCGTCAGCGATGTTGCCATACACCCTCCCATCCCAAGCCGCTGCTGTACGAACGTGTTTTCCTTGCGGGGGACGCCTCCTTAAGACGAGCGTTACGTGGGCCTGCCGCTCGGGCAAGAGTCCTCTTTAGCAAAAGCACCGCCATCCATTCTTGCAGTGTCAGGCATGAGTATAACGGCCGATGTGTATGACAAGTATCACATCCAAGGAAGCGATAACAAGTTCCCAGTTTTGAAGTGGAGCCGCCCTCCATCCGAGGAGGAGCTGGGAAAGGAGGGGGAGTGGCGGAAGGGGGGGTGGAGGGGGGGATGTAGGCGATTCAGGAGGAGGAGGAGTAGGAGGAGGAGGAGGAGGAGGACGAGCAAGAAGAAGAAGAGCAATGAAGCGGACAAAGGCTGGGCGCTTAAGGAGAGAGCAGGCCGAGCGGAAAGCCGGTGAAAGAGGAGGGAAGCCGGACAAAGGGAGGGCAGAGGAGAGGCGGCTATATGAGGAAGGAGGATGAAGAGGGAGGAGGAGGGTGGAGGAGGAGGAGGAGGAAGAAGATGAGGATGGATAGAGGTTGTGAGGCAGAATAATGAGGGTGGATGATGATGGTGATGATGATGATGATGATGTTGATGATAGTGATGTTGATGCTGATGATGATGACGATGATGATGATGATGATGCTGATGCTGATGTTGATGAAAATGTTGATGGTGATGCTGATGATGATGCTGATGATGGTGATGCTGATGATGGTCATTTTCATGTTTATGGTGATGGTGGTGGTGGTGGCGATTATGATGATGACAATGATGATGATGATGATTACGATGATTATGATTATGCCGATGATGTTGCTGATGATGATGTTGATGATGATGCTGATGCTTATGATGCTGATGATCATGATGCTGATGAAGATGATGATGATGATGATGATGATGATGATGATAATGATAAGGATAAGGATGATGATGATGATGGTTATGGTGGTGGTGGAGGTGATGATGATGCTGATAGTGATGTTGCTGATGTTGGTGATGATTATGATGATGATGATGAGTACGATGCTAATGGTGATGACGATGAATATGAACATGATGCTGATGCATATGCTGATTGTGATGGTGATGGTGACGAGGGGGAGGATGAGGATCAGGGTGAGGGTGAGGATGAGCAGGAGGAAGAGGATGAGGTGGAGGAGGAGGCTCGAGCACCATGTGCTTGAGTGTGGTCGGCGCCACTGTCTCAAGCCTGGTGCCTCGCTTCCTGTTGCGCATGCTACGGGGCCGAACCAACGAATGGTTTACTCGCTTGAGCGCCGATAGCGGGCTGTTTGCTGTCATCGTGTGAACGCCAACCAGGCTGCCTCGTATCATCCTGTACCAGTCCCGCGTGGTCAGATGTTGATTTTGATTGTTCTCCATCGTCGTATTTTGGCATGGGGCTGCTTACTTGCGCCTGAGGAATCCAAGGGTTTGAGGCGCACATCAGCAACGATTCGGCGTCTGGAGGCCGCTCATGCTGGCATTCCTTTTATATCGTGGCTGTTCGCACACCCCTTCCTTGATGCGGCCAGTGGCCGTGGAGTGGCGATGCACAGTTTGGGTTCATAGTGGTGGCATGGGTTATATACTTTGGGCCACAGGGTCCACGCTCCTCACCATGGGACTCCAGCCTGGTCATGGGGTTTGCTGTGCGTTCGTCAGCTAACCAAGGGTTTCTTTCCCCTCGGCGGTGAGGCAATCCGTGGGTGTATGGTTGGTTTGACACTTGCTTTTCTGAGCTTGCATCGTCGAGGTTGGGAGTTGCGCGCGGGCACTTCGCCAAACGGGTTGGGTGGTGGTGCGCCCTCTGTGTACATGTCCATGGCGGCGGTGGCTTTGCTGGATGTGTTCTACGATATCACACCTTGGTTCGTCAGTCGCGGGATTCCGCTTAGTTCTGGGTGCCGCATTTGTTTCGTCGTGTTCTTCGTCCGCTTCTTCCTGAAGAAATGAATCTGGTTGTCTGCTTGCGCGACCTGGCCTGCAGAATCCCGAGGGGGAGGGATAGGACTAGGAAGAAGAGGAGGAGGAGGAAGAGAAGGATGATGATAGTGAGGATGCTGATGATGATGATGCTGCTGATGCTGATGCTGATGCTGCTGTTGATGATGATGCTGATGATGATGATGATGCTGATGCTGATGCTGATGATGCTGATGCTGATGATGATGATAATGGTGATGATGATGCTGATGATGATGATGATGACGACGACGATGATGATGATGATGCTGATGATGATGATGATGATGATGATGATGATGATGATGATGGTGATGATGATGATGATGATGATGATGATGATGATGATGATGATGATGATGATTGATTGATTATGCTGAGGAGGCGGAGGAGGAGGAGGAGGAGGAGGAGGGGGGAGGGGGAGGATGAGGAGAGGAGGGGAGGAGGAGGAGGAGGAGGAGGAGGAGGAGGAGGAGGAGGAGGAGAGGAGGAGGAGGATGGGGAGGATGAGGAGAAGGAGGAGGAAGAGGAAGATGAGGGGGAATGGGATGGGGGAGGGTGGAGGAGCAGGAGGAGCAGCAGCAGCAGCAGCAACAGCAGGAGGAGGAGACGGATGAGGAGGAGGGCTCGACCCCTGCCGCCCGCGGAAGGACGCCGAGTTGGCGCCCGTCCTGGAGGCGGGCCAGCCTCCCGACCTGCACTCCCCCGTGTCTGCCTCTGGAAGGGGGAGAGAAGGAAAGTAAGAGAGGCGGAGGAAGAATAGGAATACGAGAAGGCGGAGGAGGAAGAGGAAAAGGAGGAGGACGACGAGGAGGCGGAGGAGGAGGAGGATATTGAGGGAGGACGAGGAGGCTGAGGAGGAGGATACTGATGAGGAGGAGGAGGAGAAGTTGGAGGAGGAGGATGGGGGAGAGGAGGAGACGGAATGAGAGAAGGGGGAGGGGGATTTGAGGAGGAGGCGGAGGGGTAGGAATAGGAGGAGAAGGATGAGTGGGAGGAGGAGGATGAGGAGGAGAGGAAGAGGAGGGGGAGGCGGAGGAGGAAGCGGAGGAGGAGGAGGAAACGGAAACGAAGGAGGAGGACGACGACGACGAGGAGGCGGAGGAGGAGGAGGAGGAGACAGATTCAGGCACGGCCTGTCTCAGAGGCAAGCTTCTCAGGCCAGCCTAAGTACCTTATACTTGCTGAGTCACGGCGACACTCGCCATCAATCCTACTGCCTACCCCTATATTACTTATCGTTTCTGTCGTTGTTACCCATCTAAGGTGAGTGTCGTCACACTTGGCAGGCGCCTACTCTTACCAAGGTTCTTGCCCTGCGCACTCTCTCTCTCTCTCTCTCGCTCTCGTTCATTTCCCGCGGCGCCCGCCAGGTGCTTTTTTCCTTGGCCCGATTAGCTTGTTCTGCCAGTCACCACTAACGCCACAGCGTCACGCTAAGGTTGGTCTAGCGTAGAAGGAAGAGGAAGAGGACGATGATGATGAGGAGGAGGAGGAGGAGGAAGACGAGGATGATGAGGAGGAGGAGGAGGAGAAGGAGGAGGGGGGGGGGATGAGGAGACGGAGGAGGAGGACAACGAGGAGGAGTAGGACGCGGAGGAGGAGGAAGCGGAGGCGGAAGAGGAGGAGGAGGAGGAGGAGGAGGAGGGTGGTGGTGGTTGTGGTTTTGTTGGTGTTGGTGTTGGTGTTGACGTTGTTGGTGTCGTTGTTCTTGGTATTGCTGTTGTTGGTACTGTTGCGGCTGTTGTTGTTGTTGTTTTCGCTGGTGTTGTTGGTGGTGGCGGTGGTGGTAGTATCGGTGTTGCTGGTGGTGTTGGTGTTGTTGTTGGTGGTGTTTCTGGTGTTGCTGTTGATGTCATTGGTGTGGTTGTTGGCGTTGTTGAATTTGGTGGTGTAGTTGTTGTGTTGGTTGGTGTTGGTGTGTTGTTGTGGTTGTTGTGGTTGTCGTTGTTGGTGTTGGTGTCAGTGTGTTTGTTGGTGTTGTTGCTGCTGCTGTTGTTAGTGTCGGTGTTGTTGTTGGTGTTGTTGCTTTTGATGTTGTTGTTGTGGTTGTGGCTGTTGGTTATGGTGGTAATGGTGATGGTAATGGTGGTGGCGGTGATTAAGATGGTGATGACGATGGCGATGACTATGACGATGGTGGTGATGATGATGATGATGATGCTGATGATGATGATGGTGATGATGATGATGACGATGATGATGATGACGTTGATAATGATGGTGACGATGCTGATACTGATGATGCTGCTGATGAGGATGATGTCGGTTAGCATGGTGCTTCTGAGTATTATTGTGGTTATGAATATGATGCCGTTGATGTTGTTGATGATGCTGCTGTTGCTGATGACGATGCTGCTGACGACGATGAGGAAGAGACGGATGAGGAGGACGGCGGAGGCGATGGATGTTGAGGAGAAGGAGGATGAGGAGGAGGAGGGCGGAGGAGGAACAGGAGAACGAGGAGGAGGGCGGAGGAGGAGGAGGAGGATGATGAGGAGGAGGAGGAGACGCAGGAGGAGGATAAGGATGATGTGTATGATGAGGATGATGCGGCTGATGCGGATGATGATGAAGATTATGAGGATGTTGTTGGTGGTGATGAGGATGCTGTTGGTGATGATGAGGGGAATGCGGGTGGGGATGAGGATGATGATGGTAATGATGATGATGACGATTCTGGTGATGGTGACGATGTTGATGATTGTGATGACGATGCTGATGATGTGGATGGTGATGATGATGGTGATGCTGCTGGCGAAGTTGTTTACAATGATGATGATGATGATGATGATGATGATGATGATGATGATGATGATGATGATGATGCGGATGAGGATGATGATGCCGATTATGATGATTATGGTACTGTTGGTGATGATGATGCTGGTGATGATGAGGATGATGATGCTGATGTTCCTGATGATGCTGATGATGGTGATGCTGATGACCATGCCGTTGATGATGATGATGCTGATGATGATGATGATGATGATGATGATGATGATGATGATGATAATGGTGATAGTAATGATGATGCGGAGGAGAAGGAAGAGGAGGAGGGCGGAGGGGGAGGCGGAAGAGGAGAAGGAGTGCGGCTGAGGATGAAGAGGAGGAGGAGGATGAGGCTGAGGATGATGATAACGAGGAGGAGGATAATGATGGCGACGATGATGATGACGATGATGATTCCGATGAGGAGGAGGACGATGATGATGATGATGGTGATGATGATGTCGAGGTGGAGGATGAGGATGCTGATGAGGATGATAATGAGGATGCGGATGATGCTGATGATGATGCTGATGATGATGGTGATGCGGACGAGGGTGGAGGAGGAGGAGAAGGAGTGCAGAGGAAGAGGATGATGATAGAGATGGTGATGATGATGGTAATGGTGATGATGATGCTGATGATGAGGATGATGAACGTGATGTTGATGTTGATGATGAGGGTGGTGTTTATGATGATGATGACGATTGTGATGATGATCAGGAGGATGAGGTTGAGGATGAGGATGTTGATGATGATGATGGTGGTGGTGATGATGATGATGATGATGATGATGATGATGATGATGATGATGAAGAGGTGGGTGATGATGTGATGATGAGGATGATCATGCTGATGATGATGCTGATGATGATGATGACGATGGTGATGATGGTTATCATGATGATGATGATGATGATGATGATGATGAGGATGAGGATGAGGATGAGGATGAGGATGAGGATGATGATGCTGATGATGATGATGATGATGATGATGATGATGATGATGATGATGATGATGATGATGATGATGATGATGATGATGATGATGCTGAGGCTGCGGCTGCGGCTGAGGCTGAGGCTGAGGCTGATGCTGATGCTGATGCTGATGCTGACGAGGAGGTGGAGGAGGAGGAGGAGGCGGAGGCGGAAGCGGAGGAGGTGGAGGAGGACGGGGAGGAAGAGGAGACGGAGGAGGTGGAGGCGATGGAGGAGGAGGAGGAGGAGGAGGAGGAGGAGGAGGATGGATGAGAGAGGAGGATGGATGAGAGAGGAGAGACAAGGAGAGAGGAGGGACGAAGAGAGAGAGGAACGATGTTGGAGGACGGGGTATGATGGGGAGGAGGAAGAGGAGGAGGAGGAGGAGGAGGAGGAGGACGGAGGACGGAGGACGGAGGACGGAGGACGGAGGACGGAGGAGAGACTAGAAGGGAGGATGCCTCTCTCCTCGCCTCTTCTCTATCCTCCCTCCTCCGCACCCCCACGTTGCTCACCTCCCCAAACTCTTCCGAGTAGCAGTATCACTATTATAAGTGACCTTTCTCTTTTTATTTCTAGTCCTCTTCTTCTTAGTCGTCCTCCTCTCCCCCCCTCTTGCTCCTGCATCCTCATCCCTCCCTCTCTGAGGCTGCGTACATATTTTTCTGTCCACGATGGTCATGTTTTGGTTCTACGGGACCTGCGCGATCCCCCGAATGCTCAATATACATATAAGGGAGGTCTCGGGCCCGGGGCCCCGGGCCGGTCTCTCCCTTGTATTTCGGTCCCTTCTATCCCAGTGACCTCCCTGGGCGACCCCCTGAGGTCCCAGAAATGCCGAGAATCTTCCAAGACTCCCAAGATAGCCTGCGACTGGCCCTCAAGGCCCCCCAAGCGCCCCACGAGAGCTCCAAGACGGCCACAGATGACACCGCTACAGTCCCAAAGGTTCCCAAGGAGCAACAAGATGCTCTCCAGAGACCTCCCCAGACGGCTTCCAGAGGCCCAAATTGTCCCATCCCTCCGGAAAACATACATTTTCTGCAGATTCGCTTTGTAAGTTTTCACAGCGCTCAAGGCAGCCCCAAACGCCCCGAATATCAAGACGGCCCAAGAGGCCCGCAAGAGGGCACCAAGACGGCCCAATAGGGCCCCAAACCAGCCCAGGAGGCGCCCAAGACGGGCCAAAACGGCTCCAAGAGAGCCCCAAGAGACACTCGGATGGGCCCAGGACGGCCCTAGACATACCAACATTGCCCACAAGATGGCCCCAAGGAGGCTCCCAAGACACCCTCAACGGGCTCCAAGAGCCTCCAAAGAGTCGGTTTGAGGCACCCGAATCGTGTGAAAGACTTGCGGGCAAGCAAGCGTACTTGCCTTCTCACCTTTTGCCTCTCGACGCGCCGTTCAGCCTCCAAGTCGCCTCCAAAGATGCCTTGGAAGACCTTCGAGCTTCCCGAAAGGTGCCCGAGAGGCCTCGACAAGCCCCAAGGGATCTCCCAAGAAGCACCCAAGAGACGCCCCAAACGTCCCCAAGACATTGCAGCTTTTCGCCCAAATCATGATGAGCAGGGGGTGGAGAACAGAAGTGAGTTGGATGCTGAGGTCGTCTCTAGAAAAGCCAATCGAGGACCCAAGATGGTGATTTCCATGTGGCTTCCGGGCCCCACCCGATATGGCTCCCGACGCGCCCATAATGCCTTCGAGAGGCTCTGACGGGGCCCCAAGAGGACTACCCGAAGGGCCTCCTGATCCAATGCGTATGCAGTTTTCTGAAAGTTTCCTTTGGTATCCACGTGCTCATTTTTTGCAGTTTCTGAGATCCTCAGACGACCCAAGAGATCCTTCCGAGGCCTCCAATACGCCCTCGAGAAGCTCCCTGGACCCTCAGTGGCCAACAATCCTCCAAGTACATCCTGTGCTCTCCCCCAGAAACCTCCTCTTCAACGCTCCTCCTGGACCCCCTCCCTTCCTTTCGGAACCCTCCTTTCAAGCTATCTTCGGAGCCCCTCCTCATCTTTCCTCATCTGGCTGACTCCGCATTTTCCACCTCGGCGATGTTCCTTGGCGTCTTTTCTTTCCTGGTTCTCTGCAGCAGCTTGTGCAGACTTACCTCCTGCCTCTCTGCTTTCCAAGTTCGGCTCCACAATCTGGTGTTCAGACGTGGCTTGGGTCTGCTCTAGAACCTAAGCGCGCGCGAAGCGCGCGCGTGGTCCTAGTAACAAAATTTTGGTCTTCCAGATAGTTCTGGTCACCGGCGAGGGTTCGAAGATGATCGCGCTTCGCACGTCGCGGTCTGGGCCAGAGCGGCTGCCCTTCTCCCGGGTGGGGGGGGCGAAGCGGGGCGCGAAGGCGCGAAGATCACCGTGCATCGCGCAGCCTCCGTCGAACCATCTTTCTACGGCCCCCCGGCGGGTCCCCGGGCAGCACACCTACGATCACGCAGGGCTCCCGCAGGTTCCCGGGATGCTTTTGGGTCCTGGGATGCTTTTGGGCCGCTTTGGGTGCGAGAATCCGACCCTCATCATTCACTGAGGCTCCGCAAGAGCCGTGCGTGGTCTGGTATGTTCATGCTGTTTTTGAGCTGTGTTGGGGGCGGTTTGAGCCGTTCAGGGGTCCTCGGACAGCCTTGTGGCTCTCGTGGGGCCCGCCATGGGGCTTTTCCGGAGCTTCCTGGGTGTCGGGGGAAGCGAAAGGAACGTTTCAAAGCCTTTGGGCGTTCTAATTTTCGTTGGTCTTCCAGGATCGGACAAGAAGCAATGTTCCACGGGGCTCCTGCGGGCCCCCGGGACGTTCTTGGGCCGTCTTGGGCGCGATGGCTCGGCTGAGAATGGGCCAAGTAGAATTCAAAATTGTAGAGGCGGGCTTTGGGGCTTTCTTTGAGACATCCTGGGGCGGTCTTGGGCCATTCGGGGGGTCCCTGCAGCTCTCTGAGGCTGTCGTGGGGCCCTGCGAAGCTTTTCTACACCCATCCAGCGAAGGAATAACCATGCACTAGAAATCGATCATGCTTGATAGTTTTCCCGAGGTCATCCCCCTGGGTCTGGCTCTTTGTCTCTTCACTATTTGCTTCTGTCCTCCATGTGCCCTGTCCTCCCATCCCTTGCCTCCCCCACCGCCACAATTTTTCTCCTGGACTCCTCCTTCTCGTCATCGTCCTCCTTTCCCTACTTCTGATCCTGGACCTTATCATTATCATCGTCGCTGTCTCTGTTTGCCCTCGTGCTATTCCTCTTCGTCCTTACGATATGTACAACCTTTGCAGTCGCCACTTGTTGGTAGCGCGCAGACGCGCCCAAGGACATCAAAAAGAACGGCATAGAGTCGGCTATGAAGTTCTACCAGGACGCAGACACGCGAGAAGGGGTAAGCGTCTGGAGTATGTCCCACGCGTTTCCCCCTGTTCTTTCGAGTCGTGCTCTTGTCGCTACCTTTTCCCCCAAAACTTTCAGAGACTTGCCCCGTCGTCTTGGGATGAGGACGGAGGAGGAGCAGGAGGACGAGGACGTGGGCGAGTCTGCAGAGCGCTATGGGGGGATCTTCTGGGGCAGCGTTGGGGGGATGCATCGACCCCCAACCACCCATCCGTCGCCGGTGGGGGCCTGATGGCCCGCCCAGCCCAGGAACGTGCGGACTCGTCGTCGGGGGCCGGTCGCCGATCTGTATCGCCAATGTTTGGTCGATGCTTCCCCGCCCTGAGCCGTTCTCCAAGATGGGAAGCAACAAACGTGTGTTTGCATGCATGGACGTAGATTTCGAGGGTATGTATTGCGCGAACGTTCGTAACGAGAGGCTTGGTTCGCGGACTATGGGGCCGTATTGACGTATGTAAAGTGCGTCTTCTGTGGGTTCCCTCCCATCGTTCTGCCCTTCAGATATGTGGGAAGCAGGCGCTGTCTCGATCGTGAGCCGCAGCGCGGATCATTGGAGCGCGCGGTCTTCCGGCCAGGAGGCATTGCTCAGCGTGCCGTGACGCGCTGTCAGCTCGCATGGCAAAGCGTGTCGTCAGGGCCGCCGCCGCGACACGCTGAGCAAGGGTTCCTCACGGTAGATATGGGACGTTATCGCTAACGGGGCAGATGTCTACAGCTACCACCCACTTCAGAGTGAAAGAGGCTGAATCGGGGACTCAACAAGAGGATGAGGAGGAGGGGAACGAGAAGGAGGAGGAGGAGGAGGAAGAGGAGGAGGAGGAGGAGGAGGAGGAGGAGGAAGGAGGAAGGAGGAAGGAAGGAGGAAGGAAAGGAGGAAGGAGGAGGAGGAGGAGGAGGAGGAAGAGGAGGAGGAGGAGGAGCAGGAGGAGGAGGAGGAGGAGGACTGCGACCCTCAAAACTTATGAGAGAGCGCGCCCACAGCGCCGGAGCAAAGGGGTCCCCCGTTAGCTACCCCCCCCTCCCTTCCACCTCCCCTGCTGGAAGCTCGCCTCCCTCTCCCCCCCTTTTTCGCCTCCCCCCTGAAGCTACCCCCCCCTCCCCCCTTTCGCCACTCCGAAGCTACCCCCCCCCTTTCCAAAGGGAGGAGGGGGCTGAGATTCCCCCCCCTCCTCTTGACCCCCCTCTGGCCGGGAAGCTCCCCCCCCTCCCCCCCTTATGAAAGGGAGGGGGTGCTTAGCTACCCCCCCCCCTCCCCTTGACCCCCTCTGCCGGAAGCTACCCCCCCCCTTCCCCCCTTTTGTTCTAAGGGGGGGGGGTGGCTAAGCAGGTCCCCCCCCCCCCCCTTCGGCACCCGGGAAGCTACCCCCCCTCCCCCCTTACGAAAGGGAAGGGGTGCTTAGCTTCCCTCCCCCCTCCTTTGACCCCCCTCTGCGGGAAGCCCCCCCCCCCTTCCCTTCATTTTTCTCCCCCCTGCCGGAAGCTCCGTAGCCATTTTGGCTCAAGCTACGGTTGGCCCCCACCCCGCTGGGCGCGGGCGGAGTGCGCACGCGATGGTGCGGGCTGGGCGCGCGAGGGGCCCGCTGGTGCGACACGGGCTGTGTGTCGCACGCTGCGACACGGTGGCTGGCGCCGCGGACCTGATGCTGCGCCTGGCGGACGGCCGCGGCCAGGAGGGCAGCTGCGCCCTCGAGAGCTACGAGCAGGTCTTGCACGGCGCAGGGCGGCGCCTCGCCCTGGGCCGTAAGGCCACGTCGGAAGAGGTACGGCGTGCCCTCGCCAAGGAGCAGCCCGCCTTGCCGAAGCGGTGGGCGGCGCTGCGTGCGGGCAGAGGTCGGCGCGGCGCTCGACACGTTCGCGGCCACCAGTTCGACCCCAAGCAGCTCCACTTCGTGCAGTACGTGCGACCCGCCTCTATCATGGACGTCTTCGCAGACACCCAACAGGATGGTGGCGGTGGACTCCGAGGACGAGGAGGAGACGATTAGGGATTAGGGATTAGGGTCGACAGCGTGTTGAAGTTGGAGGAGGTCGTTGAGGAGCAACGGAAGGAGGTCAACCTGAAGACTAAGAAGGTCAAGGAGGTTCCCCACGTGCAGGTGCAGTTCAACGTGCACGTGGACTCGATGTTGCAGCAGAAGCAGCTGGTGATCGCCAAGCTCCTGGAGGGGCTCGCCAACGCCATTTCGGCCTCGGAGAGGGTCTCGATCGAGATCGACACGCGGAAGGCCACGGCCACGCGGCAGCACGGCGAGGCCCAGCACTTCGTGGAAGAGTCGGCCATCGGCGCCGAGGCGGTGGTCCCCAAGGGCGTGGCGGGCCAAGGCACGATGCTCCTCGAGGCGGCCGTGGCCGACAAGGAGATCGAGAAGATGGTGGAGGCGCCGCAGGTCGCGGACGTCGTGGAAACGGTCGACATTGGCGAAACGATCGCCAGGAAGTAAGAGGCCGTGAACCGTGCGGCCCTTGACGTCGAGCAGGCCACGATCGTCTTGGCGCAGGCGGAGGCCAGGTTCGACGGGGCAGTTGAGGAGGTGGTCGAGGTTCTTTCGGCGCTGGAGGAGGACGAGCGGACGGCACTCTTGGTGAAGCTCGGCCTCCCGCCCGAGAAGTCAGCCGTGTCGTGAGCTGACTGGCTGGCCCGATATGTACATGTTCTGCCCTGGCTTTCAGTCCCAGGCAATCTCTTGCCCTTGGAGCCTGTTCGTCGGCGGTGCATGGAACAAAAAAACTGCCGGAAGCTCCCCTCCCCCCCTTTCCAAAAGGGAAGGGGCGGCTTAGCTGCATCCCCCCTCCCTTGAACTCCCCCTGCCGGACGATCCTCCCCCGTCGCCGTCGTCGTTGCCATCGGCGTCGCTCGACGTCTTCGTGCGACGCCGTCGTCGTCCTCGTCGTCGTTGTCGCCGCCGTCACTGTCATTGTCGCCGTCTTCGCATGACCTCGTCGTGGTCGTCACGACGAAGACGAGGTCATGCGAAGACGGCGACGGACGACGAACGACGCGCGACCGACGACCGCCGCCGACGACGACCCAGGGTCAGAGAAAACGAGGCCACGACCCGGGGGCTGAGAAAACGAGAAAACGAACCAGGGTCAGAGAAAACGAGACCGCGACCCAGGGGCAGAGAAAACGACAAAACGAGAAAACGAACCGTGGCCCGAGAAAACCAAACCGCGACCCAGGGGCCGAGACAACGAGAAAACGAGAAAACGAACCAGGCCCCGAGAAAACGAGACCACGACCCAGGGGTCCAGAAAACGACAAAACGAACCAGGGTCCAAAACAACGAACCAGGGTCCGAGAAAACGAGACCACGACCCAGGGGCAGAGAAAACGCGAAAACGAATTCGGGTCCGAGAAAACGAGACCACGACCCAGGGGCCGACAAAACGAGACAACGAGAAAACAAACCAGTGCCCGAGAAAACGAAACCACGACCCAGGGGCCGACCAAACGAGACAACGAGAAAACGAACCAGGGCCCGAGAAAACGAGACCACGACCCAGGAGCCGAGAATACGAAAAAACGAGTAAACGAATCAGGGCCCGAGAAAACGAGACCACGACCCAGAAGCCGAGAAAACGAGACAATGAACTGGTGTCCGAGAAAACGAGATAACGACCCAGGGGCCGAGAACACGAGAAAACGATACAACAAACCAGTGTCCGAGCAAACGAGACCACGACCCAGGCCGAACAAACGCTAATATCGGTCCTGGAAAACGAGACCACGACCCAGGGGCCGAGAAAACGACAAAACAATGAAAGGAATCAGGGCCCCAGAAAACGAGACTACGAACCAGGGGCCAAGAAAACGAGAAACGAGAAGACAAACCAGCGTCCTAGAAGACGAGACCACGACCCGGGGGCCGAGAAAACGAGGAAACGATAAAAAGGAATCAGGCCCCGAAAATACGATATTACGAACCAGGAGCCGAGAAAACAAGGAAACGAGAAAACAAACCAGCGCCCGAGAAAATTTGACCACGACCCAGGGGCCGAGAACACGAGAAAACGAGAACACGAACCAAAGTCCGAGTAAACGAGACCACGACCCAGGGGCAGAGAAAACGAGAAAACGAATCAGGGTCAGAGAGAACGAGACCACGACCCAGGGGCCGAGAAAACGACAAAACGAGAAAACGAACCATGGCCCGAGAAAACCAACCGCGACCCAGGGGCAGAGAAAACGAGAAAACGAACCAGGGCCCGAGAAAACGAGACCACGACCCGGGAGCCGAGAAAACGAGAAAACGGGAAAACGAAACGGGGTCCGAGAAAACGAGACCACGACCAAAAGGCAGAGGAAACGCGAAAACGATAAGACAAACTAGGGTCTGAGAAAACTTGACCACGACACAGGGGCCGATAAAACAAGGAAGCGAGAAAACGAACCAGGGGCCGAGAAAACAAGACAAAGATCCAGGCGACGATAAAACAAGAAAACAAGACAACGAATCAGGGTCAGAGAACACGAAACCACGACCCAGGGGCCGAGAAAACAAGAAAACAAGACAACGAACCAGGGGTCGAGAAAAACGAGGCAAAAACCCAGGGGCCGAGAAAACGAGACCACGAACCGGGGCCCGAGAAACCGAGACCACGACCCAGGGGCCGAGACAACGAGAAAACGAGAAAACGAACCGGGTCCCGAGAAAACGAGACCACGACCCAGGGGCCGAGAAAACGAGAAAACGAGAAAACGAACCAGGGTCGGAGAAAACGAAAACCACAATCCAGGGGCCGAGAAACGTAGAACTCGAGAAACCGAACCAGGGTCCGAGAAAACGGGACCACGATCCAGGGGCCGAGAGAACAAGAAACGAAGCAGGGTCAGAGAGAACGAGACCACGATCCAGGGGCCGAGAACACGAGAAAAAGAGGTTACTAACAAGGGTCCGAAAAAAAACAGCAAAAAATCAAAAGCCGAGAAAATGAGAAAACGAAACAACGAACAGGGTCCGAGAAAATGAGACCACGACCCAGGGGCCGAGAACACGAGAAAACGAGAACACGAACCAAAGTCCGAGCAAACGAGACCACGACCCAAGGGCACAGAAAACGCGAAAACGACACAGGGGCCGAGAAAACACGACCACGACCCAAGGGCCGAGAAAACGAGAAAACGATAAAAGGAATCAGGGCCCGAGAAAATGAGACTACGAATCAGGGGCCGAGAAAACAAGAAAACGAAACAACGAACTGGAACAGAGAAAACGAGACCACGACCCAGGGGCCGCGAAAACAAAAAAGCGAGAAAACGAACCAGGCTCCGAGAAAACGAGACCACGACCCAGGCCGATGAAATGAGAAAACGCGAAAACGACCCACGACCCAGGGGCCAAGAAAACGATAAGACGAGAAAACAAACCAAAGTCCGAGGAAACCACGACCCAAGGGCCGAGATCACCAGAAAACGCTTGGTTCGAGAAAATGAGACCACGACCCAGGAGCCGAGAAAACGCGGAAACGGGAAAACGAAGCAGGATCAGAGAAAATGAGACCACCACCCAGGGGCCGAGACAACGAGAAAACGAGAATACTAACCAGCGCCCGAGAAAACAAAACCACGACCCAGGGGCCGAGAAAACGAGAAATCGAGAAAACGAAGCAGGGTCCGAGAAAACCGGACCACGACCCAGGCGTCGAGAAAACGAGAAAACGAGAACACGAACCAGGGTCAGAGAAAGTGAGACCGCGACCCAGGAGCCGAAAACACGAGAAAACAAGACAACGAACCAGGGGCCGAGAAAATGAGACAACGATAAAAGAAGTCAGGGCCCGAGAAAACGAGACTACGAACCAGGGGCCGAGAAAACAAGAAAACAAGAAAACGAATCAGGGGTCGACGTTATTCTCAAATGTTTTCTAACGCTGCGGTGCGCACCTGTCGTCAGGGATTCCGCCAATTTGCCAGAGCCCTGGAAGGGAGGGGGGGGAGGTAGATTCGGAAGACCCCCCCTTTGCAAAGGAGGGGGGAGTGGGGTAGCTTGAAGCCGCCCCCCCTGTGTCCAGACCAAAAAAGGAAGGAGGGGGGGGGAGTAGCTTCCGAAGCCCCCCCCCCCTCCGGAAAAGGGAGGGAGGGAGGGATAGCTTCGAAGCCACCCCCCTTTCAGCCAGGGCCCCCCTAGCTTAGAAACCCTTACAGAAGGGAGGGATGAGGGGGGGGGGAGGCGGAGGTAGCTTGAAGCTGGGGTCCCCCTTTCCGTATTCCCGGCGCTGCGGGCGCGCTCTTTCAGACCTATCCGCCCGAGCTCTGCAAGTTTCTGGCTGAATGCCAGTGGCAGGATTTCGCTGCCTGGACCCCTGAGGGGGAGTGTTCGTGCGAAGTGCCTCCTCAGGCCCAAGGTTTCTATGTGCCACTGGACCCATACCTTCAGCTTCCAGAGACAGCACGGTTGCGCGAGAGTGTTGCGCCTTCTGCCCTGGGCGCTGAGAGGCGCCTGAGCGCCTCTGGCGCAAGCGAATCTGGCACGCCTCGGCCATGAGCAGAATATCGCAGAACATCGCAGGACCGTAGGAATGTCGCCCAGCGATGCGTGAGAGCCGCAGACCCGCGGGAGGAGGGCACCTCTGGGCAGACCTCCCGTGGTCACCCGAAGGCCAGGGGCGTGGCGGCGGCCGCGCCTGCTCGCCCGCCGATCCACGCCAGAGAGTTGTCCTCCTCCAGTGGGCGGCGCGGGAGCACGAGGATGGTCGCGCTTCTCGGGGGCGGCCGAGCGGAGTTGCGTGGTCCTTCATGGGAGCCTCGGAGGGATCCCGAATTCTATGCGGGTTGGGGGATTCCGTCAGATTTGGTCGACGCCTAGACGACATAAGGTCGAAACCTGGACGAAATCTGGTCGGAATCTGGTCGGAATCATGCTTTTGGTAGGGCCGTGGATGTCCGCAGAGGTTCCCATGAGGGGTGACCCTAAGAGGAGGATGATGACAAGATGGGGTTTGGACATCATGGCTGGGGCCATGACCGCTCCCCGGATTTCACGGCCCCCTCATATCTTCCTTGAATGCGCCCTTTGGTCCCCCCCCCCTGGTCCGCGCACGTGCCTCGGGCCATGAAGATAATCGCGCGTCGCGCATCGTCGGGCGCGACGCGCGAAGCTGGGTGACCTAGGCGAAGCGTGAAGCGCGAATCTATGCGAATTGGGGTCTCGGCGCCGATGCGCTGCGCATTTCGCCGCGCGGCGGGGGGGGGGCCGGGCTCCCGGAGAGCAGGACGAGGAGTTGATGCTGAAGTTCAGCGATCACAGCGACAACGATATCAACGTTCGCAACGATAACAGCGATCACAACGATCACAACGATCGCAACAACAACAACAATCATTATAAGACTGTTCGTTCTTACTTGCTCGCGTGTCATTTAAGACTGTTCGTTTTTACTTGCCCGTGTGTAATTCACAACGAGTTCCCCACACCCTCGATACCCGCCCTTTATGTTTTCG